TTTTTGAACTTCAGCACAACTCAGATTTTGGGTGCAAACTTATGGTGGATTGAAGCTGGTGCGAACTTTCGCATGCCATCTTGTAGAGCTTGCTTTGCTCTATCAAATGGTACCTCAATCTGATGTATATGCGTTGAGTTTCATGAAATAGCAGATCTAGTTCGAAAATGTCCCAGAACTTTCGAGCCAACCTAATATATTAGGTTGGTCCGAAAGTTCTTGCGCATCATTTTCAAAAAATCATAACTTCCTTGACACTCGATGGATTTCGTTGGGATTACATGTATTCGAAAGAGGAATCCATTCTCTTTACAGCAGTACCTTCGGCATGAATTACTCTGGAAAACTTCAAGAGTTAGAACCAGTTGAATAAAATCAGTCAAGATTGGCATTTTTCGAGCTGGGTCACGAAAAATTCTGAAAGTATTTTTATTGGATAGAGAAAATTATTCTCATTACAATGGTACCTTTTTCATGAATTAAAACGAAAAAGATCGAGAGTTAGGAGCAAATAAACAGAATTTCTTCAGTTTTGCAATTTTTGAGCATGCTTAAAAAAGCCTAAAAACGTCACAGAAAAGGTGGGAAAGTCATGAACATGGGTTTTATGACCTTCTCTTTCTAGCTGAATGAAAATCGTGCTAATCGAGAGCAATTTTGATTTTCGTGAAAAACGCAGGCACGAAAATCCGAAAAAATCACGAAAAACCAAATTGCTCCCGATTGGCACGATTTTCGCTCATCTAGAAAGAGAATGTCACAAAACCCATATTCATGACTTTCCCGCCTTTTCTGTGACGTCTTAAGGCTTTTTTGAGCATGCTCAAAAATTGCAAAACTGAAGAAATTCTGTTTATTTGCTCCTAACTCTCGATCTTTTTCGTTTTAATTCATGAAAAAGGTACCATTGTAATGAGCATAATTTTCTCTATCAAATAAAAATACTTTCAGAATTTTTCGTGACCCAGCTCGAAAAATGCCAATCTTGACTGATTTTATTCAACTGCTTCTAACTCTTGAAGTTTTCCAGAGTAATTCATGCCGGAGGTACTGCTGTAAAGAGAATGGATTCCTCTTTCGAATACATGTAATCCCAACGAAATCCATCGAGTGTCAAGGAAGTTATGATTTTTTGAAAATGATGCGCAAGAACTTTCGGACCAACCTAATATATTAGGTCATTCCGAAAGTAACTTCGCTTTTTTCAAACGGGGGCCACATTTGAAGGAAGAAAGGTTTCTAAGAGATCTTGGAAGCAGAATTTCATTCACTTTCTAACGGTTATAAAATGTTGCAAAACAATCAACGAGCTTTCAGAAAATAACCAAAATCTGCGACCCATGCTTTTTGAGATGGTCAAGTTTCGCGATTTTTTCAAACTTTCATATCAGTCCTCAGAAGGAGTTTAAATAACGGTTCGATAGAGTAAACCTTACAAAATACAGTAGTACTTTTTCTCTTTCTCGCAGCTCGCCGTAATTTTTTAGCAGAACCATCGGATTTTGGCAGGCCCTCCTCAGCCACAATCGCATCAAACAACATAATTTTCCGTAATTTGAGACTAGCAAGATGGTATTATGAGCTAGCATTAATTTTACAAAGCAGGTGAGGGTTTACGGGTTCGAAATATCAAATTTCGAGTTTTTCGGGTACAGCCTGGGGCTCGCTAAAAAAAATGAGTTATGATGATTTTTCCCCGGTAACTAAACGAATCGGAAACAAAAAACACCTGTTAGAAAGAGGAGTAAATGCTGAATTGAATAGTGCGCGAGCTGCTCTTCTGTTGATGTTCTACGAGGATTTAGCTGCTCGAGTATGAAAATCGGTAGCATCAGTTGAAATTCTGTTGAAAATGTATGACAAGCTATGGAAAGGAGAAAAAAGCAGTACTGAATTCTGTAAGGTTTACTCTATCGAACCGTTACTTGAACTCCTTCTGAGGACTGATATGAAAGTTTCAAAAAATCGCGAAACTTGACCATCTCAAAAAGCATGGGTCGCAGATTTTGGTTATTTTCTGAAAGCTCGTTGACTGTTTTGCAACATTTTCATAACCGTTAAAAAGTGAATGAAATTCTGCATCGAATGCTTTCAAGATCTCTTAGAAACCTCTCTTCCTTCAAATGTGGCGCCCGTTTGAAGAAAGCGAAATTACTTTCGGAATGACCTAATAGTTTTGATTTTCACGGCTAGATCTGGGTGGGCGGTATGCAGCCACAAAGTGGACACGAGAACCATTATTAGGACTTATCTCAAAAGCAAGTATGTCAGGTTTGCTTTTTATATTGACGTCAACGTCATTAACAAGAACGTGTCCTTTGATTATGCCTCAAACACCACCCCCCTTCTATGCCCCCCTATCAAACAGGTAGAGACTAGGGTAAAAACAACCTCGGAGTCAGATTTGAAGTCAACCAATTTTCTGTAATGAAGACAATATCAAGTTTACAGTGACACAGAAAAATTTATAGATGTAGCTTATTGTTTAGACTGTGCGCGTCAAACAAAAAGATTTTTAGTTTGTTAGGGTGGCTATCATTCATGAAATATGTAGTTCGACGAAAAGGATTCATCCAAGGATTTAAGTTTTTTAATGGCGAACTTTTGATTTTAGGAGTATCTGCTACTTTGACCACCTGTCGTTTAGAAACACGTAAACCCTGTTTCCTGTGATGTTCCATATTGAGACTACGTGCTTGCCCCCGCAATTGACCTACGAATGAAAATTTTCTCAAGACCGGGTGTGTTGGGGAGACGAGGAGCTTTTTTCACAGCCTCAAAATAGAAAATGTGGGATGGAAACATACATTTAATCGGGCGAAATTGGTCATTATTGGGTTCACCTAGTCTGTAGATTTCAGTGGGTCTTGCTTCGGTATTCAGTATGTCAGGGACCGAAATGACAGATTTTTCTGTGTGTGCTTGATGTTAGAACTCTTTACCACTATCAAGCTCCGTTTTCGTCGTTTAGAAGCTCCAGGCTAGCCGATTGTTTGACTAAGCTTAGCATACGATTCAAAAGCGTTAAAGCTTCAGAGGCTTTATTCGCCGGTATGTAGCTTAGTCAAGAGCAGACCTTCTTTGCATTGTTCCTCGCTTTCTGAATCATTCGAAGGTGCTGATGTCTCAGCGGCTTCAGAAAGATCGTTTCGTTTCTTAACTTGGGCAGCACGACGTTGTCCATAGTGAAATACACACGGCCGATCAGGGTGAGTCCACAAATGAAAGTTCAGGAGAGCAAAATTAGGTGTTCTATAGTACAGGACAGATTTTCATATTAATGTATTTATATTTAAAAATTTTGTATTTTTGAAAAAAAATTTTGAAATTTTCATACCCTTCCATATCTATGAAAATCGCGGCAATGTTTGCCAATGGAGGAAAGGTTAAGAAATTGTATTAGGTTGATGCAAAAATAATGGCCGTTGCATACACTACCAAAGCATGTGGATACAGAAATATACGAATGAGGTACCATTCCACAGAATGAAGCAAGCTCTACAAGGTGGCTACAAGAATCCACCTACACATCAGGTCTACGTAAAGTTTGATGCCAAAATCTGTGAGCATTTGGCCGGCTCAAAAATCGGATCTTCGCTCAGAGAAGTCCTACAAGCCTCCCAGTTGGTAGTCACGTAGTAGACACATAGCAGCGTTCATTCATACACTTGCTGTAAATTTTTGTCACTTAGAATTTGAGAAAAAAACGAAAATCGAAGATTGGCAAAAATAATGGCCGTGGACTACGGATTCTTAAAGTTAAAAGTGATTTTTCTCAAATATCAATGCAGATATCAGGCTGAAATTTCACAGCCATATTTCGGAGGCTTTGGAGGTGGAGAAACTCCGCCTCTAATTCGCCCCTTTCTCCCAATTCAGGTATTGTGTACCACAAAGCCTCCGAAATATGGCTGTGAAATTTCAGCCTGGTATCTGCATTGATATTTGAGAAACATCACTTTTAGCTTTGAGAACCCGTAGTCCACGGTTATTATTTTTGCATCAACCTAATATATTTCGAACAGAGGGGCTGAGCATACGTTATAGAGAAAAACTTCAGTTGCAGCATTTGGAGTATGGTTCAGTTTGAGCGTTTTAAACAATCCAAATTTCCTCAAAGGAAATTTGAAATGGCACCTGCCTGCAGTTTCGCATGTGCGCCGACCAAAGGTAGCACTACTGGCAAAAATGTCATCGCTGTTTTGGTTGTTCGCCTGAACAGTACTTAGCAAATATCGGCAAGCGAACCGCAAAAAATCAGCGATCTATTTTTCCACTACCCCTCGTCCACAAAATGCATGTCAGCCTATCGTCGGCGGTTGCCTAAGTTCCTGCTCTCCGGCACTTTTATTAGACAATGACTAGATTTCCGACAACCATATTCGAGCAGGCTGAACTCTTAGGAAAACAGATTTAGAAGCTACAACCTTTTCAAAACTATGATGAAGGCTAATCATGCATGAACTCAAGTCAATTACAAACTTTCAACAACCAACTACCATTGGAAGAGTTTACAGTAAAATCTTCCTACTGTTCGTAGGCGCTTGCATACGATAAAACCAACATACGGATTTATATACACAGGTCGCGCATACTAAGAATATAATGGAGTAATTGTATGCACGTCAGCTGCGGGGAGAGAATAGAATACAATTACACGACGCTCACTATAAACAAAAATCTGTCAGAACATCCCGAGTCGTTTCACATCATCGAATAAAGCGGCTTTCTGTATATTTGGATCTCACCAAAACATATTTTTCAAGATGAAATAAATTTTGAAATCAGTGCGAACAGCAAATTATGATTATTTATGAGTTCGTGCGGCCCTCGAAAAAAAAAACCACCATTGAACACGAGTAGATGTCAATAATCGCAATGAAAGACGTAAAAAATCAATCTTTCACAAAAGTCTCAACTTTATTGCACATTCTACTCTTTCTCAACGTTTTTTCAAAATCTAAGAAAAATGAAACAGTGATAGATAGTTTTTACCAAGGTTAATACTTCCAAGCTGCAGTAAGTTGCTGGAAGTACATGCTAGTCGTTCTATCGCTGACATGCCTGTCGACTGCATGATGTTCAACAGTTTTAGGGCATAGCGTAAAAAAGAATCTTCCACTCTTCACCATTGTGTGTACGAGTAGCAGTAATACCGAGCTGCAATTGTTTTGCGTAAGAAAATTTCAGTCTCGGGAGCAACTTACAGTGACACGAAAAACTCGTATGTGGCGTAGCATATTTGTCCTGCTGCACTTGTTGGTTTGAAATAAAGATATGTCAAAAACATTGCAATGCAGGGAGGTACCAACCAGATGCTGTATACTATTGACGAATACATAACGATCTAGAGTTGCATTATTTGAGTACTCCAATTATCACTGGTCTTACCTTCATAACTCGTAAATTCTCAGCAAGTTGGAATCGCGCGCTAAGCGGGTAATGTGTGCAGAGGGGCGAGGTGATATAACGTACTTGCTTTTTGTCACGTCGATATAATGATATATATACGACTGGACATATCGTATACGTTATCAAAGCTATGACAGCCAGAGCGTACATGGTCAGCATACATGAAATATGATTGATTTTAGAACAAGTTTTAATCCACAATAGAATCACTATAATACACGTGATGTCCGAAGGTAACAGCAGGCAACCAACCATATATAAGCGGAACAGCGGTAGCAGTCGTTAAGATACAAGATACTGTGATCACCAAAGATGCTACCCATTTTCTCGGTTTTGCCTCATAATCAGTTACATGATAGGAAGCGTAATATCTTTCAAGCATTACCGAAGGAAAAATGGATAATGAACTGCATCTGCACCACTGAGTGACGAAACAAGCCGCGACAAGCCCATGGTTAGACTCGATTTCGCCTAAATTTCTTGCTGAAAGCCTGACCAACTGCCATACATGTTTAACCACCTTCCGCATGAAAAGCGTCTAGTGTATAAAGTACTATAACCATGTGGCCAAGTAATGATAAGTAGAAGCTGCACAAATAAAACTGAAACCAAAGGATATGGAAGGAAAGGACCGATTAGGGTGGGACCTACGTTGCGTAAGCTACGCATCTGGCCCAGCCCTTAAATGGAGGAGTAAAATCCAGCATTTGCAAAAAGTTAATTTTCTCAGCAAAAAAGCCGCATCTCACTTATGTAAAGCATTGCTATTAAACAAGCTTCATTTTAGCATAGGCTAAGCCCAATCATATTTTTCTCTCAGAAAATTTTACCGGCGTCGTATTTCTATATCATAACTAGCTATTCGATTCTTATTTTAGCATCCTCACACGTATTTTTCTCTTGGCGATCATTTAAGAATCCATTTCAATGGTGCTCAACGCAGAAATCAAGGATTGATACACTGCTCACATAAGGTCGTGCGTGCTTACGCGGCTGCTTAGTTAAACTCTCCCACCCCTCCCCACCTTTTCTATGATACGAAGTCACTCGCTCAAATTGTAAGAAAGCGCAGCTTCTGCAGTAAGTTAGCTCACTACATTATTGCCTTCCTGCAATGCAAACAGCCCCTAGGATTGCATAACAAAGGATAATACTATTGATATGCTAAGATCGGCTAACACCGCAAAAGATAAAGAGTAGAATTGTGTTTTCAATTAGAAGATAAACTTATCTGGGTGACATATATAAGATTGCGATGGAACAAATAAGATTTTGATAACAAACGACAGCTTCCAATCAATGCCGCAGTGGAGAAAACGAGCAATATTGCCTCTGTGCCGTAAACTACATACAAAAATGGATAAGTTTTCAGTGTGGATGCAGTTGGAAACACGAATGGAAAAAACAGCGACACGTCCGGCGATGGGTTGTTAAGCCGCATTACCCTGAAAAGTAGATCATAGAAATGATAAATAAAAGCGGTTCTTTCTACATAGAGCTCCAGCTGTTCTCGGAGGTCGAGCATGTAACCAACACACAAACCTCGGATAATTCTTATGCCTGAAAAAACCATTTATTGTTCTTGCTTTGAATTTATTTACTTCGCTATAAGCAGTGAGTACAGTCCCAAGATAGTAGATGTTGCAGTATCAGACAAGGATCTGCTTGATTATGACTAAACGCAACATTGTGGAGTTCCCAGTTTCGCTAGCACGAGATGAGACTAGACAAATCAATATAAAGATTCATTACAAATGATTTTTTTGCGGTTTTGAGTTATATCACACAAGGAACTTTTCGTAGTACCCCCTTCCCCGCGGTTAACACAGAATTTGCTGTTATATTATTAGCTGTTTGATGTGATTAAGTCATTTGCTTGGCACCATTTTCAATACTTGATATAGATGCAAAGAACGAATGTATGAGATCCGCTTGTTTACGCATCTGCCATCTCAAAAGATCAGTGGCGCACCGAGGGGAGACGGCAGGGGGGGGGGGGGAGGAGGCTTCCTTCGAGAATGGGTCGCAAAATTTTTGAAAGCTACTTACATGGGTTGTAGAAATGTGCAAATGGCTTGGTCATACTTGTAAGTAATTAGGTAGTTATTTTATGTTTAAAAATAAATTAGCCTTGTAAAAAATTTTATAAAAGCGTAACGCCTTTTTTTAAGTTTCGGTCATGGTCAACAAAAATCTTCGGAAACGACCCGAAAAGTTTTCGAAGTGCGTGGCTAACGCCACGCACTTTTACTTAAAAGATTTTTTGTTGCTCCTCCCCCCCCCCCCCCTTCCCCGGAGCCTAAATCCTGGGTACGCCAGTACTAAGGATATATCAGCATGATAGACACAGCTTTCAAAACTCCATAATTTTCTGCAAGTGCAAAAATTCTACTGACAGTAAGAAGAAATTGTTCGCATGGCAGCATGGCGAAAATGGCAAGGTTACAGTTGTAAAATAAACTAGGAAGAGGTTCTTAGTGGACCGCCGAAGAAGTTGGAAAACATCAAGTCAGATGAGGTTGTTTGGACTTGCGCAGAAAAGTTGTAACTTTTCAAAGTTAGCAAAAACAGTATGGGTTATGCATTTTCAAGAAATACAAATAGTTTTGTTTGAGTAACACATCCTTTGCCTATGTATGATGCTTCAGCTTTCTTTTTGTCTTTGCACGCATTAATGACACGCGATTCAGAGCTGAGTGACAAGAAGGTGGATGGAACGAAAAATCTGCTGTGTTTTTTGTGTCTGCTCGTAACTGTGTCTTTCTTCAACAGCACAGTTATTACAAGCAAACTTCGCTGAAGTGACCGGCAGAAGAAAAAAAATTGGGCTGAAGATGTTTGTTGAGCATGCATATGTGATAATTCAGCTTAAATCCACAACTTGCGGCAAAATAGGGGAATTTTGATAGTAGGCAAACAAATTATACAGTTGCAAGCAGGGTGCTTTTTGTTTCTGTTGTAAGACGCGAAAGCCTTTAATAAACTCCTTGTCATAGCCACAGTGCACCTTAAACTCGAGATATGCGATGGCTTTTTCATTTTTCTAATTCATTTTTCTATATTTTCGGGTCCCTATCCTAACTTGTTAGATGTGAAACAAAAGCTTGAGCATTTTCTCAGCCCTTACGAAGCTTGTGCAAAATTCTTGAGTGAAACCACAAAGAAAGTGAGTGTACGTCTGTGATTTAAGTGCTTTGATATTCTGTGCTCTACTTGCATACTTCAGTATACGCCTAAGCAGGCTCGAGCAAGAGGTGTGGCACACAACCACCGGATACGACGCCGCTCCCATAAGTCTCTCATCCCCCCCCCTCCTCTCCCCAGTATTATCGTTTGTCTACCGTAGGCATGACATAAACGCTCTACCAAGCATGATTAGTAACATGTTTGTAATTATGATGTCAATTCAACTCATGGAACATGTTTTAGCGAATTCTGAGTGTTCCCAATATTTGGCCACCCTAAGTGAAGTGGTCATTTCAACATGTTATGTTAACTTTATCTCAAAGGTGAATGGGGCCACTGATCTAATAAAGAGCTTCACCAAAACTTCGTGCTGAGTAAACAATACCGACAACACATTCTCATAGTTAACTTTATTTCAAAACTGAATTAGTTACCACTTTTTTTATTCATTAAAAAAACGCTACTCCTTCTCTGCCACATAAGAGATCCCAGAAATAACCTCCAATAAACTCCAAATAACCTTTCTCTTTGGAGGTAAGTTAATGAAGTGTGGCGCAATCTCAGAAAAGCTGTGGCTGCACACCTTTTCAAGGGTTATGCCACACTCCATTGATACTTTCAAAGCATTCCAATATCTGTTTTTTTATAGCGTTGCCACTGCTAAACCTTCTTCTTTACACGGTAAGAATTCCATTCAAAATAGTTCCTCCTATAGAAAGCTATAGTTGTTTTTCCTTACTTATGCAAATGGAAATTTCTGCGAAAATTTGGGTTACGGTAACATGCTAAGTCTGCGCTACTACGTATCTCGCGAGGGAAGACAGCGAGAATATATTAGGTTGTGTAATAAGTTCTGTCCCATTTTTTGATTTCGTTTTTTCTCTATAGTTTGTGATGTGATTAATAAGGTATGTATATGCATTAGAAACTTTTAGTCTCCTCTACCCATTTTCGTACATCATTTGTTCAGTCTGAGAAAACTCAGAAAAATTCTTCGCTTTGAAACGAAAAATCCAACTCGACAACTGCATCACAGTATGTTCTAAATAGGTCACAGAAAAAAAACAGCTGAAAAAAATTGCGAGCAGAATGGGAAGATAGTTATAGCTTCGAGAAACAGCACAAAAGTTCTTTAAAAAATTTAAAAATTTACTTTGTACCCTGATATGGATTTCCTTTCTGATGTCTCTGATGTCTTTTCAACGTCAACATTAATCATCTGAAAAAAGTCCTCAGAAACCGTAAACCGTCAATCCGGGAACTGGCGGGATGTTTGTTTACACAAAATCACCGAATTTATTGGTTACTTACTCAAAAATCGAAGTTTATGGGATACACGACATAAGTAAGCGAGACGACGAACGCCGTGGCGAAAACGCCTTGCTCCGCCAATTTTCAAAAAAATGCATTAGACTGTCGGTGAAGGGATTGGAGCAAGCATAAACGATGACAGTACTTTTATAAATGATTACTAAGTTGTTTAGCTTGTTATCACGTTTTTGAGCAAATTTTACCAATGGAAAATGAGTGAAAATTGAGAGCAAAAAATGTCGAAAACGATTTTTTTTGCCTCTCGAGATATTCGTTTTCAAGCCAAGAATTTTTCTGGAATTTTTAAACTGAACAAACTAGGTACGAAAATGAGTAGACGAGACTGGAAGCTTTCTGATGCATATCAATACTACATATATTTGGCTTAGTTACTTTTTGTATATTCGCTCAAAAAAGATAGAAGGAGCCATGAGATCTGGACCAAATTTGGCAGACATAATGTATGGGGTGGAGGGTGTGTTAATAAGCCTTTTTGTTTGGGACCCACCGTTCGACTCTATCGATTTATTGATTTTTTGCAGTTTTTGCCTGGAAAATTTTGTATGTTCGCCCAAAAAAGATAGAAAGAGCCATAAGATCTGGACCAAATTTGGCAGACATAATGTATGGGGTGGGTCGTGTGTTAATAAGCCATTTTGTTCGGGAAAATGTTTGACTCTAAGGATTTATTGATTTTTTGCACTTTTGCCTGGAAAATTTTGTATGTTCGCCCAAAAAGGATAGAAGGAGTGATGGAATCTGAAACAAATTTAGCAGACATAATGAATGGGGTAGGGCGTGTGTTAATAAGCCTTTTTCGGGACACACGAAATGCCTCTGGATTTAATGATTTTTGCTTAGAAAATTTTGTATTTTCGCTCAAAAAGAATAGAAGGAGCCAAGGAATCTGAACCAAATTTGGCAGACCTAATGCTCAGATAATCGCCGGGGGCAGGCGGCCATGCGAATTTTGAGCAAGCGGGCATCGGAAAAATAGTTCGCCGATTTTATGAGGGCCGCTTGCAGAAATCTGAAAGAATATTGGCCAATTTTTGGAGGAATGCTCGGAGAAGTATCGCGGTTTTTCTAGATTAGTTGCGGCGCAGTGGCCGCATTCTCGCGGACTTTCCGCGAGAATATGCAAAAATATTGGGGGCCGCACGGTCCTTTGTGAAGGACCGCACAACCCCCAGATACTTTCCGCTGAAAAAGTACCTCAAACTTGAGTAATTAAACCAACGGTGACACGTCTCCCACACAGAGTCTTACCTGTGCTCGACGTATGTCCGAAACTCCGTAAAAAGAGTCCGAGCGCCTGCTGAAAGTTCAGCCAGCGTTCGCTGAAAGAGATTGTTTGACGAGCTCCCGCAGAAAATTCTGTGTTGTTGCCCGCTGGCAAAATATGCAACCGGAAAGGAAGTGCCGCCCGCTGAAGATTTGGCCACGCCCCAAAATTTTGCTGACCGCCTGCAGAAAACCGCGAGTTTGCGGACCGCCTGCCCCCGGCGCTTATCTGAGTGTGTGTGAGGGGGGGGGAGGGTGTGTTAAGGCTTTTGTTCGGAACACACGGGTTGCCCCTATTGATTTATTGATTTTTTTTCATTTTTTGCCTATCAAATTTTTCCGCCCTGAATAATAGAAGAAGTTTTAACTCAGTATGGAGACGCATGTGTTCTGAACACCGAAGAGTAGCATAGGCTACCTTTCGCGGCAAATTGCTGCGCGTTTCTATCGTTTTTATTGAGATTTGGTTTTAGAGGAAAACGTCCTATTAGCAACTTTGCTCCAGTATCACCAGGTAGATAAACAAGAGGGGTATAGCATATTTCACACGCATATAAATGTCGCGAGGCGAGTGTTTTTAAGTTATTTTGTTCAAAACATACCGATTGCTTCTATATTATATTTTTTGCAGTTTCTGCTCAAAAAATTTTTGCAGGCCTAAAATTTTTGAGAAAATTAAGAAGTCTGAACCGAACTTCGCAATTGACTTTTTTGCTCAGCCATTTGTTATGACTGACTCAGAATGCTGGAAAAAATTATTGGATCCGAATCAAACTTCGCATGCTTAAACTTCTGAACAGATCTTTTGTTAGTAAGCTATTTCCACTGATATAGGCTGAATCAATTTACTAATTTTTCTTACTTTACGCTCTTGTGGCTTAAAATTGGCAGCAAGGAAAGGATAGGTAGGCATGGTTATTACGAAACAATATCTACTGCTTCAATTATTGACTTTCTCTATCTATTCATTATTTTTTTCATCCGACATTCTCGACACCTGACTGATAGATGACTACCCATCAATCCCTTTCTCAGCGAGGATCATCGACCAGCTAAGGTTATCGAAAACGGAAATTTCACTCACCCACAGGATCAATTATGACCGCCAACCATATCAATCCAATGACAGTCAACACCCTTATATCCCCTCCCCCCCCCCCTCCCCATCTTTTCTTCATACCATGACGCCTTTCTCGCGTCTTACTTCCTTTGAATGCTTTCACTTTCAACATCGTGATACCGTCATCAGGCGTTACGAGTCGGTTTCTAGAGCTTCTGAAAACGAAGTTTTCCCTGACTTTCGAAAAATTTACCCCTTTGAAGTCCCCTTTGACCCTTGTAAGAAAACTATCGAGTTGGGGGAAGATGAAAATAGGAAAGAGTTATTAGTTTGTAAAGAAAACCCTGAAATAGGAGTGAAAATACAAAGTGGAGTTGAATTCTGCGGATGCGCAAAAACTTGGCATCAGAGCGCGATATCTAACAAAGCAGTTTATGAAGAAAACAAGTCAAAAAACAATAAAAAGGCAACTATACAAAAATGTTTTTATGCTACATGATAGATTTTAGACCAGAAAATTCGTCCATGCTGAAAAAAGCCGAAACTTATGTGAAGTGACGGAAATATATGCTCCAGACGATCTCAGATCGTCTGGTGGCCGTCTGGAGAAGATCTAATTTTGAAAAAGGTATTACTTCACATAAGTTTTCAAAACTTTTTACATAGGTCTCCCTCAAATAATATTTTACTTACATGGTGCAAATTTGGTGTCAAAAGCTTGTGTTTACGCTGTAAACAAGCAATTTGTTTGTATTAGCCTTGCTTTCAAATCGCGCGCACTTTTCGCCATACACGATAGAGCATATCAATCGTGTGATAACCCGTCCGAAAAGCTTGTGTTCGACTAAATGGCGCTTATTCTTCGTGCTCGGCCCCTACTCGTCAAAAACGATATCTTCTTTGCTTTTTGCTCCAAGAAGTCCAGCCTGCTTCTAGACGATCTGTGCCGGACCCGGACCGTCATTCACCTTTCATGGGACATGGGATACATGTAAGGTGAATGAACATGAAAAAGTGAACATGTCTGTGAAATGGACACAAACCTTACACATGTCATGAAACACATCCAGCCCTTCTGTGTTGTTGACTGTGCATTGTCTGTTGCTTGGAATATTAACACAAATTTGATAGAGAGGCCAAAGTGCGTCCTCGATCATCCTCCTACATAGGTTAAGCCGAAGTGTTTCGTGCAAACTAACAAGTTCACCAGCACATTCTCACATTTGAACAATGCAGAGTGGAACGAGAGATATACACAAAAGCGAAGCTGCCAAGAACCAGCCGAACCTGCCGCGTAGCAGCAGAGAGCGGCTGGTACATACTATTAATCACATCACAAACTATAGAGAAAAAACGAAATCAAAAAATGGGACAGAACTTATCGCACAACCTAATATATTCGATAGCCTGAACCTCACAATTTTCACAAAAGTGATTTGAGCCTAAATGGTCTTTTTTAATCTGAGATATCGAAAGCAAAAAATGGGGCAAACCAGATTTTGGCTTGTTTTTGATTCCTTGATAGTTTGGATGCTGTTTGTAGTGAGATTTCCAATGAGCAAAGATGTAGTAGTTCTAATAAGTGCAAAGACAAGTAGTTAACTTACCTTTGAAACAAAGTTAACATGTCTATGACCATCGTACTTGAGTGGCCCAATATTTGGAAACCTCAGAATTTGCTGAAACTTAGCCCACAGCGGTTATTTGACATGCTAATTTCGAAAATAATGCTCTTATGCTTTTAGTGCTCCTTTATTATCTTATTGTACGCATACCATGATAGGTCACAACATCAATGTGCTAGTATTTTGCATAATGGGCCTATCTGACATTAACGAATATGATGTTGTTGCCAACATCAGCATCATTTCGATAACGCCCCCTCCCTTCCCCTCGATACGGCCTCCAAGTATGGCATGCCACACACAGTGTTTCCTCTTATCGATAGTTCCTTAAAGGCAGTGTCCGGGCAAAAATTCGATTTTGATTTTGTTACCATGCTGAACCCGAAAATCCACACTGGAGAGCGAGCGCGAAAACGGCGAAAAAGGGCTTTAACGCAGGCGGGAATTTGCAGGTGGGGCTGTTCACACTGTGACGAACTCCTCCGGCTTCAGGAGCGATCTTCTCGCTTTCGCTAGTAGCCCTAACATAGCCAACAGCCCACTGCGAAACGAGTGACAAGAAATCGGAACCGAGAAGATTGCTCCTGAATCTGGAAGAGTGTTGTCACAGTGCGAACGGCGCCGCCCACCTGCAATTTCCCTCCTGTGTTGCAGCCCTTTTTCGCCGTTATCGTGCTCTCCGGTGTGAATTTTCGAATTCAGCATAGCAGATAGGCCCAGGTAATCACAAAATCGAGTTTTTGCCCGGACACTGCCTTTAAGGGTCGGGCATACATCACGCGATTTCATCGCCTCGCGATCTCACAAAAGACAACTGTTACGAGTACATTGCATGCTGAACTTCTTGCCGTGCGGTCGTGGTAGTTAGTCGCAATCAGCCGTGTCGGAGAACTATCACAATTGAAATGCAATTGAATGCATGCAATGAAGTTGAGTCAAATGTCTTGTTGGGCGTGGCGATGACATCGCGTGATGTACGTCCGGCCCTTTAGATACAATGTTTTTGATTGGGAAAAAATGATGTGTAATTTGCTTCCATCAGATGTAGACCAAAGCGTTTCATGCGCCGCTGAGCGTTCGTTTCGCTGAAGGTTTCACGAGCGTGGAGAGCTGGCATGCCAGGCAGAGATCGAAAGAAATGTGTAGATGCAGACTAGATTCTTAGCACGATATGATGGTGGTCCAAAGTGAGTGGAAACAAACTATACACATGATTTCTATTGTACGATTTTTCGGACTAGCATTACACTAAGGCCGTCTCATTATTGTGAAAAGGAATTCATTTCCTATACACGATCAGCGGTGTCGTCTCGTTATCGCATTGAACGTTGCTTTGCAAATGACTCTTCCGACAAATTCTACACTACGCGGCCCCGTCCTCCCTCTTTCGCTACAAACTTTAGTTAATGCGCTCAAGTAGGGAGCCTACTAATACATCGTTTTGAAGTCCTCTTCCCCCCTCTCACTTTGCCAGAGCGCTGCCTTTACGCTATGAATTCCTGCGGTGTGCGTTGCAACACGCAGCGTACGCCGCTGCAGTCGCAGTGAGAATACGGTCATGCACACGCTGTTTACCAATGTATCTCTATATCTGCTGCTCGTTCGTATTCTCCAAGAATAATCCTTCAGAGCTTGCAATCTTTTTTCTCTTTTCTTGGCTTATCGTTGATCGAATGTTTCTTTATTTATTTTGAATTCGTGTGCTCCCTCAACCTTTGATTTGCACAGTTTGCATCATGACTAACTGCAATCTGCATAATCTGATTCTAGTATTTTGTTGTCGCTAAGAGTCTCTTTTACAAATACATCGCTCGATGAAAGGGTTTCGATCAAAGGACAAAAATCTAGTACTTCAGAAGTAAAACTAAACAAAGTAGCGCACTGAAATCATTGATGATAACAAACTGGAGCGAGATAAGTTTCGTAGAATGAGGGAGCATACAAAATCAAAGCCGACTAAAGAATTGATCGACGATGAGGCAAGGTAACAGAAAAGAAAAAATTGCAAACTCTAAAGAAATACTCTAGAAGAACACGAAAATGCAGCAGATCTAGAGATACATCGATAAACAGCGAAACTGTGCTGCCATAAGCGTATTTTCACTGCGACTGCAGCGGCGTACTCTGCGTGCTGCGGCGTAGTATGAAGGAACCCTATGACTAACCAACTCAAATTCACACACGTTCTGCGCATAATCAAACATTGTATTAGTTCAAAGCAAAAGGCACATATGAGAATTACGCCAGTAGTAAGCCCCGCTGACCTAAACTGAAGAGATTCGTAAGGTGTACTTACAAGTGGCCATCCCCTTGTGCTAAAAGAATGCAACGTGACCAGACAGGTGAGCGTCCCGGCAGATGCCGCGTTAATCTCACCTGACTTGTGTGATAGCAATGTCCGTTTTGATATGATCTAATGGAAATAGTGTGGAAGAGATGATACCCAGAAAAAAATCGTAAGTGGCTCGTAAGTAATTCACGGTACACGTAATGCGACACATACTGCGCATGTCGGTGTTGCGCAAAATGCACAAGTTCGGAAGCCTACTGCAAAAAGGATTACTGAACAGCTGACTGCGGCAAGGATGTCAAGATAAGTTTTCAACTTTTTTTGCAGAAAGAGTTCCAAAGCAGATACTCAGCTTCTCAATAAACACTGTGTTAGCCATTATCTATTAGGTCGGTGCAAAAGTTTTATCAGTTTTTTCAATCCATCGGCATACACGTTAGAATGAAGTTAAACAAACAATTCAAAATGTGTCCAATGTAGAATTTCTTCCTCTTTTCAAGTGCTAAACTCTCATTGTGTTTCGTTGCGAGAGTGACGAGATATTTGCTGGAAGTTACAACCACTGTTTTTACCAGGTCCAAATTTCCCTAATTTCAAAATTTTTGTATGCGATTTTAGGAGGAGCCATAATAACCAGCAGATAGGGCAAACCTTTTGCCAACAGAAGCAATTTTTTGTAGCCCTATGGCTTTTCTTTCAGAATTTCTACGATTTCTTTTTTGAAGTGACCAAATTTTACATTCAGCCTATTTTAACTTCGTAGAACATAAAATGTTACACATTTCAGTCACCATTCGATGCAACTTTTTCTCCTCCTTTTAACACTCTCTTTTATTGCCGAGACAGGCGAAATTTTTGAGGAAAATTGCAGTATTTCTCAGGTTCAGAAGTGCGCACTTGCGTAACATATATTTCACAATCTTCACAATTTAAAGCCAAAATCGCTCATTTACTTTGTAATGGTAGCGGTAGTAATAATCGAGTGTTGAAACCTCAGTATTCTGTAAGTTTTGCAGTGTTTGGTGCAATAACAGGTTATGCGATTTTTCCAAAACACAAGACTTTCAGGAATATTTAGCAAAAATCTGAAAAAGCAGCTGAAAAAAAAAAAGAAAAAAATGCATAAGTTGGCAAAAGATTCGGTCTATTCGGTGGTTATTAGGGTTTCTTCGGAAGTCTCATACAAAAATTTTGAAAATTAGTGAAAGTTGGACATGGTAAAAACGAATGGTTGCAATTTCCAGCAAATATCACTCTCTCAACGGAACACAATGGGAGTTTGGCAGCTGGGAAGAGGAAGAAATTTTGCATCGGATACATTTCAAAGTGTTTATTTTTCTTCATTCTAACATGTTTGCCGATAGATTGAAAAAACTGCGCTGAGACGCCATCATATCAACTTAGGCTCATTTCAGGGAAGATTCACTGATGGGGTTTTACTACGGGCTGTGTAGTGGCTTCGAATGTCACTCAAATGGACGGTACCGCGTTCGACTCATTGGAAGACTGCTCTGAACGACCGTTTATCGGCTATGCAGAATAACCCTCACCGTGAGCAAAATGCGAGGAGTGTAGTAAGACTATGAGATAGGCGGACTTTCCACGGCACCGAATGGTACGAGATAATATAAGATATTATCAAACCTGGGAAAATTGAGACTAGAAATTTAAAACTAGACAGAAAATTCAAACTAGATAGAATAGCTTAATTACACTAAACAACACAAATAAAAAAACGGAATACTAGACAATAAGAGTCGCAACAACCTACAGCAGCAAGGGGACGTGTAACGGCTAGCTTTATGAATGCCTAGCCGTTACACGTCCCCCCTTACTGTAAGTGACGTCCCGGCGCTTCGATCTGTGGTGGTTCCGTGATTTCTTTTTCATTCGTGCTCGGATCCTAGGTCTGCGCTTCCATGCCTGCGACTTCGTTGTCGTTGTCGTTGCCCGTGCAATTCTTGCCCATTCGATCTTTTTCCACGCGATCTCTGTTCTAGCGATCCTTGCTCTCACGATCCTCGTCCAGATATCTGCTCCCTCGACGACTACTTTCGAATTTTTGTGTCTGGTTTTGTGGTGCTTTTCTTCTTGCATTATTGGTCCGACAGCATTGTGCTTTGATATAGTTGAACATTGATTCAAGAAAATCCAAAAATGCGCGAGGGTGTTCAGCACACTTGTAGA